ATTTCCCAAATACCACTTACGTAACCCTCAGACCATGCCAGATGAATGCATAAAAAGATCCCAGTGTAGGAAATTTGATTGAGCAAAGTTTTTATGTTAAAAATCCAAACGTTGAATGTCAAACAAAAATAAAATAAAAATAGAGAAAACATGGGTATGTCTGTTGAATAAATCATTTGTATTTACAAACATATATGTATAAATTCAAAAGAATACAAAAAGATTAAAAATAGTATTTGGCTGAGTTAAAATCTTTGGGTTGTTGGTCCACAGAAAAATCTATGGTTCAAAATAGACTTTATTAGTTGGTTCACAGTAAAAATCTGTAGTTGAGAAGAAAATTTTGTGTAGTTACTCTACAGTCAAAGTTACAGTTGGGAAATGACTTCTAAGCAGCTGATCCATAGTAAAACGGTTTGTTGGAGAAGAAACTTTGATCATCAGCAATGTTTTCATTGGAAATAGTTCATTGAAAGTCATGGACACAAGTTGCTTTCGGCATGTGTTGAAGGAAAAAAAAGAAAATCTATGTAACCATGTCTTCTCTTGTGTTTAAACAGCTTAGAGTCAGTCACATCTCTGCTCCTGAAAAGTTAAAACCTGTGAGTTTTTTAAGAAATTTTTCCCAAAATAGGCCCAAGAAAAATAGAGTTTTAGTTTTCTCTGATTTGTCAAATTTTTCACATGGTGTTGATAATTTCTAACCAAAAGACATTTTGATTTAAATGGTATATGTTGTATTGTGAAATCTTTTTGACATCTTTGAAAATATTGTCTGTTATTGGGTAGAAATTAAAGTTTGCATGTGTTTTGCGTATGTATGTGGGCATGTAATTGTGTTGGAAATAGAGTTTATTTCCTAAACCAGTATTTTAAAAACAGGATTTGTGTTATCTTTCCTCAATGGGGGAATATTTTACCTTCCATTCCTTTGTTGGATGTACACAAGGGATTTTTCAATTTTTGTTCACACTGACATAGATATAAATTATAATATGTTGGGTAAAGCTGTTCAGTTGATGAAAAAACTGACTGAAGGCCATGGTCATACATTTAGAACCCTTTGGTTGCAAAAAATAGCTCTCTATGGTTGGATTTCTTAAACAAAAATACCAACAATTTAATTAATTCTAATCATTATATATATATATATATATATATATATATATAGTGAGACTAATTCGACATCCTGAAATTTTATGATGGATTCAAGGTGCATGCCATCATTATTTTCAAAGTACCCACCCATCTCATCATCGGACTTCCTGGGTATGACAATAAACTACATCCGGCAGCAAGACCTCTGAGTGGGAGGTTTTGAAGAGCATGGAACCATCTCTTAATTGCTGTTGTTCCCAGGTTCACTCTAAACTAGGGTGATAGCACCTGTTAGGGTTCAAGCTATGGGCAATTAGTGAACCCCCCACAAACTGGGGTCAAGACATGAAAATATAGAAATACATTAGAAAAAAATTACCAGCAATACAGTTTCTGAAAAAAAAAATTACCAAAGCTCACAAGAAAATAAAATTTCAGCAGGCATTAAATGACCCATGAGGACTTGATATGCCGTAAAAAAATCTCAGTACACTGGCAAACAATTCTGTCAACATTTTAATTCATTCTTATTATATATATCGTGAGACCACAAATTTTAGTAGGAGAGCAAAATGGATTAATAATCAAGGGGGAATTTTATCACTGACTATATTTTTAAGATGTGCAGGTCAGGCAACTGTTATCATTATGAAAAGTAGAATCAGCACTTTGAGTTCAAATTCTGATCAAGTAATGCTCTTGAGAAAAGTAGGAATTCATCTTTTTTTATAGTCAGGTATGGGTAAATGCAGTGATCAAAATGATCTCTTTAGCATTTCTGGTTGAGAAGAAGAAAAAAAACAATATATCATGAGTTAGCATGGTGGAATAAGGTCCATTACTTTTGCTACATCTGATAAAAAAAAAGATTCTGAGTCCTGCAGTGGTCTGAGAAAATGGTTCATATAAATAAACATTTGAAACCCCCAAACATTCTTTCTGCTCATTGATGTTACTACCATACCTTCCATTGGTTATTTTGACTTGGTCTGGAAATAATGGAAGTGTTTCTAATGAAATACAGTATCATATGCATAATACTGTTTTGGTCTTTTCCTTTTAATGCTATGTCCCTTCAGGCGGTAGGCAATTATGGCTCTGCATAGATGCCTATTCTTTACTAACTGCTAATTACCATAGTTTCTTGGGAAAAAATGGATGCTATGTCCCTTCAGGAGGTAAGTGATCATGACCTCTCCACATATTTCTTTCCTTTATTATTATTAATTTTTCAAATGAGCTCTTCACTATGGTACCTAGACTTTATGAATTTAAGTACAGTACTAAACAAGCATTGAAGTCTCACCAATTTACTGTTGAGTTGGTTAAATGTAACCTTAAGTTCTATGCTAAAAGTTTCTTTTCTCATGCTTCTTGCTTGCGGAACTCTCTTCAGGCTCCCTGTTTTCCAATCAACTTTAATCTTCAAGAATTTAAATGCAATGTCAATCACTATCTACTGTCCTCCTGATTACTCTTCTTCTGTACTCCCTCCTTAGTAATGTTTCTGTTTTCTAATTCTTCCACACCTAGTAAACCCTTGTGTCTTAGTGGCTTTACTGCCTTACTTGCGGTAAATTCAATTAAAAAGAATCTGTGAATTTCCATGAAAACTTAGGAAGGATATTGGAGTGGAATACTGGGTTTTTCTTCTCTTAGACTGGTTGCCTCCCAAGGCTACAGATAACAACCTACTCTGTTATTAAGTTGAGGGTAAGAAGAACGAGACTATTTCATGCCTTTCCAAAGGGCAAAAATGAATGCAACAGATGAGCCAAGAACTGGAACTAAACTGTTTTCTCCCCAGAATCTATCTTACCATTTGTCCATGCCATGAATATTGCTGCATAGGGTCTGGTGCTTCTGTTGTACATCTAGAGATTTGTGACAAAATCCAAAGGAATCAGCCAAGTTATCAGTCTTGACCTTACATTATGGCTTTAGTCACTTTCCCTGTGTTTTTTTTTTATAAATACTTTCATGCTAATTGTTCTGATGAACTTTCTTCTATGGTAGCTAGACTTTATGAATTTATGTGCAATACTAGATTGGCAGTAAGGTCTTATCAATTTATAGTTGAATTGGCTAGATTTGACCATAAATTCTATGCTAACCATTTCTTTTTTTGCACTTCCCATTTGTGGAACTCTCTTCTGGCACCATGCTTCGCAGCCAACTTTGATCTTCAAAAATTCAAATGCAACGTCAATCATTATCTACTGTCTTCTTGATTACTCTTCTATTGTTCTTACTCCTTAATATTGTTTGTCTTTTTTTTTATTCTTCCACAGAAGCCCCTTGTGTCTTAGTGGCTTTACTGCCTTGCTTGGGGTGATAGAATTAAAAAAAACAAACAAAATAAAACTTGCTAATTCTACTTATTGCACCAGTTTCTGTTACATTACCCACTCCTCCAGTAATGACTTATAACCAATATATATCAGTAACTTTGTCTATATAGATTCATACATATTTAGAAGCATATATATCTTTACATAGAAACACAGACATTAAAAGGAAAACGAGGACACACTGTTCGGATGCAAGTGAGTTGGGTTGAGAAATTGGGTTAGGTTATTGAGTTGGCTACTAAGTGTTGATTTTTTTTCTTTTGTATTGGTTTTTATTGGTGGAGCTTTGAGTGTTTGCAGACTTAGCTAATCTGTTGCTTGGTAGTATTGGATTTACTATTTGTATCATATTAACTAGTAGGTGATTCTTTTTCTTTCTCTTTTTCTTTCTCTTTTTTCTTTCTCTTTTTTCTTTCTCTTTTTTCTTTCTCTTTTTCTTTCTCTTTCTCTATTCATTTGTCTGGTTTCATTATTATCAAATAAGTGGGTGTGTTCTGTGCATGTGCACACACATGCACACAGGTGTACACACGCACACAGGAATACACTCAGGCATACACACAGCTGCACATATGCAGATGGTGCATCTGTGTATAGATAGAAAAGAACAAGTAAAGATAGATAATAGACTGATATAGATAGAAAGAGATAGATAATAATTAACTGATATATATATATATATATATATATATATATATATATATATATAATATTAGGGCAGCAGATCATTATTCAAATATATATTAAATATAACAGAATGCAATTAAACTTATGCTCAAATATAAAAGACATTCTTTGTCTGTTATATTTAACAATATATATTATATATATATATATATATATATATATATATATATATATATATATATATATATATATATATATATATATATATATATATATATATATATATAATAGATAGATAGAAAATAATCAGGGTAGAGAGATAGAAAATGGGCTGATATGCATATATATATATATATATATTTGACAAATATTCATCGATCATAGGAGACTAGATGATAGATTGAGATTATGAGCTAGATAAATATGAACAAGTTTAGAGATTGATATAGATAAATAGGGATATATAGATGAGGAGAGATAGATAATATATATATATATATATATATAATAGGTACAGATATATATATATATATATATATTAATAGGTACAGATAGATGCTAAAAAGCTTACAAAATACAAGTAATAGTAAGCTAAATGTAGTTGATAGATATATAGAAATAGACAGAGCAACTTAGTGAACTAATTATGGATATTAACAAGTTTAACTAGATAGATTAGAGGCTGTGATAGATAGATAAATAGACAGATAGATAATGAGCTGATATATATATATATATATATATATATATATATATATATATATATATATATATATATATATATAAACAAGTTTCATTAAAATTGCCAACAAGGTTCTGTGGTTAAGGTTTTATTTAATTTTTCATGTGTTCTTATAAAAGACATAATCACAGTACCTTGCCAGTTGTTTTTAATGGAACTTGTATACAAGATGGATTGCTAACCAAAGAGAGAGAGAGAGAGAGAGAGAGAGAGAGAAAAAAAATAATAATAATATGCTAGATAGATAGATTTTGGTAATCTAAGATAGATGTTAAAAGACTGAGATAGCAAACTCGCTAGCTAGCTTGCTAGCCAGATAAATATGAACAGGCTGAGATATATATATCAGTATTTTGATACATAGATGCCTCAATAGATAAAGTCATATATGTTTTATGATATTATATATATTGACATTACTTTTCACTAACTTTTATGAAGTAGTACTGCTAGTCATTTAAAGCAACAAGTTTAGAAAGAGAACTCTGTATTTAAATCCCTTTCCAACATGTCAGGATGTGACAGGGTAAAGACCATTACATCAAATGTTTGATAAAACAGTTTTCTTGCATTATATATATATATACTTTTTAGTCTGTTTTCTCTCAGTCTCTGATGAAGCTTTAATAAAAGTGAAACATGTTAGAATGATATACATTTCCTATTTGTTCTTTTATTTTAACATCCTGGCAGATTCCAATCCATAATCCATATTTCATCTGCATTTGATCTTTAACTCATATATATATATATATATATATATATGCACACACACACAGACACACATACACACTATTAAAAAAAACAAGTGCATATAAAAAATAAAAATTGAGATGTATAAGCAGTCAATTGCTGATAACATCTGACGAGTGGACAGACGGGTCTGTCTATAAAGCACTAGAGATGGGAGCTGAAGGTAACATCAATCAGCTTAGTGGCAAATCTTTTACTTGTATTAATTTTCTCTCTCTCTCCCTCTCTCTCTCTCTCTCTCTCTCTCTCTCTCTCTCTCTCTATATATATATATATATATATATATATATATATATATTCATCCACATGTAAAAAAAAGATTAAAAATAATGGAAGCCTTAATAATAAAAAAGAAAAAGCCAACACTTAATAATATTAACTATGAACATGGCAATAATGTGCTAACTGTGTTTGGAAAATAAAACATCATTATAACACTAAAAACATACACACAACCCACACACCCAATTAAATTGAAAAAAAAGAAGTCATTCTTGATAATGGGTAAAAGTATAGCAAAAAATAAAAAGCTTGTTCTTAGTATGTTGTCTGTCATCTTTAATTAAACATGTATATATATATATATATATCTGGAATTTTCATGATATAATATTCCATGTAAGTGATTAATATTCACCACTGTATTATATGCAAGTAAAGACAAGTAAAGTGACTATGTTGAAAAATGAATATTTATAAATGCTTTGATTGGTCAAGAAATGATACAAGTGTACAGCATCATATGACTGACTTTCTTTTTTCTATAGATGACATGTTCCTTCAAGAACGAGATGATCACAACTATCCATAGATTCATTTCCTTTATTATATAAGAATTACGATGGTTTCTTGGGAAATATAATGGAGTTGTTTGCCAGTATTAATTCTTTAAATGCCATGTCTTTTCAGGGATTAGTTGATCATGATTCTCCCCATATTCCTTTTCTTTGTGAATTCTTAGGAAGAATACTGGAGTGGTTTCCTGTTGCTTTCTCCATGGTATGGAATTCAGAATTTTTCTTCTTAGGCTTATTGATGAATCTTAAGTCAGTAATAAAAAATATTTTTTTTACTTGATTCATATTATAAAAAGCTGGTATTATTTACTCAAATGTTATACTTTATAATTGTAACAACAGGAGCTGATTAAAATTGCATTTTCATGTCTGAAATTAGATCAATTAGAGTGCTATCTGCCAGCAACTTTCACATATGCCCATCATGAAAGCAATGGGAGTACTATCAAAGGAGGTGATATTCCCAGTTTTCATTTAACCCATTTTCCATAATATAGTAACACCTTAATACGCGGACAGAACAGAATAGCTGAAATTAAGGAAAAACATGCTTTCTTCTTGAAGAGATTTTTATGCTGCTAAGTCATACACAAAATTAAATACAAATATTTACACTTTTCCCCCCACAAAGAGAAGCTAAAACACATGTATACAACCACAAACATTATGGTAATGTGGAAAAAAAAAATGAGAAAGGGTTTTGGTTCTAATAATTCCCAATGGGAATTTGAGCTGCTGGAGGATTTTTCCACTTCTTGAGAAGCCATATTTTTCCCATTGGAAAGATTGGTGAATCCGTGGGGTGTGGCCATATTTCTATTTTCTAATGGGATTTCAAGCAGGCTGGATTCATCTTCTATGTTTCTGGCAAGGACATATTTCCCAATGTGAAAATGGTTCTATGGGCTTGTGTGCTGCTCCATGGCAGAATATTCTGGGAAGTCAGTTTAGTCTTCTTATGCTAAAAAAGAAAATGCTCAATTTGACTTTAGGAGGGGAACTGAATACAGTGCTTTTGTCACTCTCCGAACTGATGTCACTAAGCAGCTCCCATATGACCCTGATGACATCACCACAAAGGGAGATAATCGCCTACAAAAGCATCAATTCTTGTTTTTTATGGCACAAGCTGCTACTTTCAGAAGAAATCAAGTTTTGCAGTAAAGGGTGCACCAATCACCAGACTTCAATGGAATAAGTAACAAAAATATCTTTTTATAAGGAAATGAGAAACATATTATATATTTTAGCTCTTTAATCCCGTACTTTCTCTTTCAATTACAATATATGAGGATGTAGTAATTCAGTTAAAGTTGGACCACTGGACTGACTGTTCGGCTATCCACACATGTTTTATTTGTTGTGGTTAAGGCTTCTGCAGAAGTTTTGGAAGAAGAGATAACAGAGAATTGATGTACCACACCGTGTAACACAAAGCGACCAAACATCTCTCCTCTGAGAAGAAAATTAAATGTAGTATATGTAAAATTTCAGCAAAATAATCATGTATCCACCCAAAATATTTCTTATTAATCATTATTATTGGGTTGGTGCATAATTATCAGGCGTTTTTGTAGGCGAGTTATTTGTTAATAAAAATTGCTGTTTTGTTTACTTTTTATAATAAAAATATTATTTTATTTTCAGTTTATAAAAATTTGTGGTGATAATAATAATCTCTGGAAGAATCATTTAAAAATGTTATTGTTGAATTGTTATGTTTCTTTTTTCATAATAAATATTGTGTGTGTCCTGGGTGAGACATTGAACTTCATCCATGTCCTGGGTAAGACGATAAACTACATCCAGCAGCAAGGCCTCTGATCAGGAGGTTTTGAGGAGCATGGAACCACCTATTAATTGCTGGTGTTCCCAAGTCCACCCTGAACCGGGGTGGTAGCACCTATTAGGGTCCCAGCTATGGGCAAATTGTTAACTATTACCAGCAATACTTTTTTGAAAAAAATTATTACCAGCAATACAATTTTGAAGGAAATATATTACCAGAAACAGATTTTTGACAAAACAAAATATTACCAGCAATAAAAATTTTTGTTGGCATTAAATAACCCATTGAGGTTGATATGCCATTAAACAAAATAAACTAAACCAATCTAAACCAAAGAATATATATTCTATTCATACGAATCTATACTAAAAATGTCGGTATTAAATAATGCATTGAGGTTGATATGCCGTAAAACAAAATAAACCAAACCAGACCAATAAATATTGTTTAAGAAACGCCTGATAATTATGCACCAATACACTATATCCTACTTCTCTTATACTTGAGTGGCAACCAGTCAAAGCAAAGGAAAACTGAACTCAAATCCATTGAAGAAGTAACGGGAAACTACTACACTATTAGCAAACAAATCATGACATTTCACAAATAATACGGAGAAAGAGAATCTGTAAACATACGTGATTGCCTCTGTCTTGAATGGACATGGTATTGGGTTGGTGCATAATTATCAAGCGTTTTTATAGGCAAGTTATTTGATAATTAGGCATCAACCCAATATTATTTTTTATTATCTAATTTTAATCATCATTATTATTATAAATTATTATTCATATTAATGTCACCTCCTAAATATAACCATGTATCCAGCAAGGAAACAATGAAATGGATTATAATGTTATTTTCTGCAAGAAGGTGCTTGTGTAATCTGTTATCTTTGGTAAATATGTGCACTGAATTCTGTCGCTTAAGAATCAATGGTAGCATCAACTGTTAATGACCATTAAGCATTAATATAGCTGACAATGTTATTGCATCTATAGCATGGAAACAAAATATTTAAAAGATTTTTCTCTGAATTTGTTTTAGTTTTTATTTAATAAGCATTCACCCCCATCATATATATATATATATATATATATATATATATATATATATATATATATATATATATATATATATATATATATATATATATATATATATATATATATATATATATATATATATATATATATATATATATATATATATATAAAAAAGAGAAAGAGGTGGGGTAATGGATAATGGCTTGGATTATGGAATGCATGAGAGGCGAGTTCGAATCCAGGTTGAACCCATTACATTCACTTACGTGCTAATACCCTTGGGAAAGGTGTGAATCCTATTCTTCCTCCAGCTATGGGTTAAATAGCAGGACAGACTGGGTTCTATAGCCTTGGATGGCAACTGGTCTAGGAGAAGGACAACTCTGAATTCAAAACCTGAGGGGGGTCGTTTGGGGACCTTGTGGCACGTAGTGCACCAGGTCTCTGTATTTGGCCCTTCAAAAAGTGTGGATGGTCTTGCACGAAGCCTTCACCACTATAATCAAATCTCGTGTGCCAGTGTTGGGCTGTCAGTTTCCTGGAAACTGATCTGCTTGACCCGCATACGTTTTTTTTTTATATATATATATATAATGTTCTAAAATATAAGAAAACATAATATAAATATTGTTTTAGTGGGTACAGGGGGCTGACACTATTTTTCAGACACTTTATTTTTTCAAGTTTTAGGTAGCACAAGCATTCTGTACTGTTTTAGTGTAATGGCAATAAAATTTAAAAAATGTTTCAATACTACAAATGGAAAAGTAGAATTCAAATTAGAAGTATTTTTACTTTTTTACAAATTTTCACATTACACAGGTGACAGTATTTTTCAGACATTGCAGAAACAATGCTAATAGTTTATGGCAGCACCCTTTTTTCAATGACTTCTATCAGTCTATCTTCATAATGTTCGTACATATTGATAATAACGTCTCTTCGTGTTTCTAGCAGTCTATTTTTAGCATCTTGTATGCGCTGCCACAGTTCAGCCTCTCTGGTTATTTCTGGCCCGTCGTAAACAAGCTCTGCAAGCATTTCCCATATGTTTTCAATTAAATTTAAGTCTGGACTTCTTGCAGGCCATTCCAGAGTAGTTATATTTGCTTCACACATCCAATTTTTCATTGATTTGGCCACATGGATGCTGCAGTTATCTTGCTGCAAAATAAAATTACTTCCCATTTTTATTTTCTAAGAGTGGTAGGGCTCTCTTTTCCAAAAGTTCTCTGTAGCTCAAGCTATTTTGACGTCCTTTTAACCACTCAAGCCACAAGTTTCCATTCGGAAATACCATACCCCAAACCATGACTCCTCCTCCTCCTCACATCTGTCTCTTGTTGAGAATAACAGGTTCACCTTTTTTTGACCATGTACACCACCCGTCAGGTCCATCAAACTTAAAACGTTTTTCATCAGTAAATATCACTTTATTGAAGTCGACATGGTTTGTTATCCATCTTTTGGCGCTTCCCAGCCTTGCCTCCTTGTGTTTTCTCGTTAGTGTAATTCTTTTCTTGATTTTAGCATACTTAAGTCCAATTCCGTATAGCTTTCTTTGTACAGTTCAAACACTGACGTCAAGTTCACACTTCTCCTTTACTTTTTTCGTTGTCAGCTTTTCTCCAGATGATAACAACCTCGTAACACCCCTCTTCATTCTTTCTGTTCTCTTGGAAATTGTTTTTTTTCCATTCTCTCTTCTTCTTCTTCTGCTCATAGTCTGTACTTAGCATGTATTCAACTGTTGACTTTCGTAGCTTCATCTCAACGGCGATCTTTTGGATGCTGAGCCCGTCTTCTCTCTTTTTTTGGACCAAACTGATGACTTCTTTTGAATGTATTCTTCTTCAGGATTTTAATACGTTTTTGCAGTGTATGGTAAAGATACTCAAATGTAATGGTCAGGGTACAATTTACCTGCAGAAAATTTGCATATTGTAGACATTTGATGGCTAAATCTTAAAAAAAAATGGAATTTGTGTCATGTCCAAAAAATAGTATCGCCTAAGTTGAAGTAAAAATAAAGAAAACATGAAACCAAAGACAAACCCATCAATCAATGTTCATACCATTAATGGACAGTTACTGCTGAACTATCTACTCATCAGCACAAAAATTCTCAGCAGCAAAAAACACCTTTAAGCACACTTTTCAAAGTGTCCCAAAAATAGTGTCAGCCCCGTGTATATATATTTGAGTTGTCGTTCCTGCTATTTCAAAAAGTGGAATTAATGTCAATTGATCTAAAGATGGAGAATTCCTTACTAAAGAAAATGGTAGAGAACATCTTGGCTAAGGAAATTGTTTTTCTGATAGAAAAAGGGAATGCAGTTTTAGTTTCTGTAGAGAGACACATTTTCTTGTTAGTAAAAACTTCTCAATCGGTAGACATTAATTTGACTGTTTAAAATAGCAGAGATGACAATTGAAATACATCTACGCCTAAAAATAACATTCATAGTAAGAATATATATATATATAATTATTTATTTAAAAATATGATTCCAAATCGCTACATAAGAGGTCTCATGTTTCAAAACAAGAGCCGAAAACTTCAATATAATCCTTTAAATTAAATTGAGTTGAAATTAAAATGGGCTCCGTTCCATCTTCAAGCGAAATTTTTGTTGCAATAACGTATATCTGAAATTTACTTGTTTTAAAAATTGAAATCAAAATCCCCATGGTAACAGCTAGGGTGAATTGTCTAAATTGGGTAGGCGAGTGTAGGGTGTTAATAAAAGTAGCGGTATAGAGATACTTTCAAGGTGTCAAGTCGGGAAAGGTGGGGGTGTCAAAAATGAAACGGAAGATGTATTAGCCATCGTCTAGTTTGCTTGTCTATGGAGATTTATTTATTTTATTTTATTTTATTTTATTATGAAAGGGAATTGTGCATATAAAAAAGAAAAACTTTAACGTTTGTTTTTTGACGACTTCATAAAGGGTTATCTTTTTATGTAAGGTATTTAAACTACTAATTTAGGCTATGGATTATGAAGGGTGTTATGTTGTATGCATGTTTGTAGTTAATTATTCCTACTATGAATCTGATGATTGGGCTATTTGTTAAACAAGTTATATAAATTTTTTTATCTAATAATTCAAACCAAAAATCTGATGATGCCTACAAAAAAACTTTAACTCGTGTCTATTATTTAATAGATTATTATTATTTAGAAGTTTAATAATGTGCAATTTTTCATGGAGGCACAAAGGGCATGGGTCATCCCAAGCTTTACATATTCTAGCATTTTCACATATATATATATATATATATATATATGTTAAATGTTATTTTTAGTTGATATTCGTATTTGAGTAGACGTTCTGTTTATTTATTAAACACTATATTAATTTATTTTTCTCTGCCAGCCTGATTATCTTAGAGAAAAATATGCACTTTCTGGCAGTATTCAAACCTGTGCTCCCCTGTAGCTGAGAAGTCAAAACACGTCTGATTTAATGATGATTTCCCTTAGGGGAATACAGGTTCGAATTCTACCAGAGCGCGCATGTTTTTTCTCTAGTAAGATTTTTTAAATATTCAGACCAGAGTCTGAACTGAGATGAAAATTAATAAATATGCTGTTTAATAAATAAACAAAGCATCTACTCAAATATGAGTACCCACTAAAAATAATGTTTAAGTAATAAATATCTCTCAGATTATTAAATAAAATATTGATACCTTTTCTTTATATATATATATATATATATATATATATATATACATATATATATATATTTACTGTGAATGTTATTTTCAGGGGTAGATGTGTTTCACTTGTCATCCCTGCTATTTTAAACAGTCACATTAATGTCAACCGGCCTATAGATTGAGAAGTCTTCATTAAAAAAGTGCCTTTCTACAGGAACTGAAACTGAATTCCCTTATTCTATCAGGAAAACAGTTTCTTTAGCCAATATGTTCCCTACCATTTTCTTTAATAAGGACTATTACAATATATTACTATATATTAGACAAGCTATTTCGAATGTTAACATAAATAAAAATGAATACAATACGTCAAATAACTCTAAACATATCAAATTACTATATCGTAATCAAATGGATTACAACTATAAACAGAAAGAAAAAAATCCTAAAAAAAACTCATAAATAAACATTATTATATCCCCCACTGATCCAAGTAAAAAAAAAGTAAAATTAATTATATACTATACTAAATTTAATACAATCAACTTACTTGTCCAAAACAATTCTTCTCCATCAACTAGCATCTTACAAAAGCTCAACATTGTATATCAATTTAAATGCCCTTTAGGAGATTGTAACTCTGATGTACATTGGCTTTACTATGACGGTACTAACAAAAAGGCTTACATTTCATTTGGCTGAGTATATTTCAATAACTCAGCATTTAAAGGAACACTCAAGCCCATACTCACAGATTAGATGGATCTCAGTTGAAAATACATTTATATTACATAAAAACAATAACAAGCAAAAACTAAAAATCCTTGAAGCCCTTTATATAAGAGAATTAAAGCTCAAAATAAATAAAATCAACTATGAGTATAGCAACAAAGTTGTTAAATGCTTATAAATAAATATATATATATATATATATATATGTGTGTGTGTGTGTGTGTGTGTATGAGCAAAAATAGAAAAGTTACTTCCTTATACTGGGAAGAAAACACATGAACTTTAAACTTTAAAATTTAGAACACTGCATAAGCATTAAAAACGAACGGTTGAAATGTTTCGAATTTACAGAAACACATATACATATTCAAAGACATCTTAACCCCTGAAGATGATCTCAGATGAGATTGAAAGTACTTGGGAAAATAAAAACTATTTGAAAGAAAATTTTAATATTTTTCTTAATCAATTTTCTAAGGCTACCAAGAAATTAATCTATTTACTTGAAAGGACCACAATGAAAACTAATCGACATGATATGTCTTAATTATTTAACCAAACCTGTTTGAAAATACATATATATATATATATATATATATATATATATATATATATATATATATATATATATATAAGCAAGTGTAAATGGATATAAATCCGACAGAATGAAGAAAAATTCTGAAAAAAACAAACAAAAATCCTTAAATGTAGTTAAAATGAATGAAATGTCGACGTCTGACGTTTCCACATTTTAATAAACCTTTTCAAGACAATATTCATTAAAATACAATTCAGTTCAATATGACAAATACGATGGACATAAAAAGACAAGTCTTATTCAAAACAGTGTTTTTCATTCATTTTAACTACATTTAAGGATTTTTGTTTGTTTGTTTTTTCAGAATTTTTTCTTATATATATATATATATATATATATATATATATATATATATATATATTCAGTCTAGTTCCATATTTAATAAGTAATTTTGGCATCTCAACATGGTGTAATGGTTAGCAAGTTTGTTTTGCTAGAGTAACTACAGCTGAGTAGTGAGATTGTTCCTCACTGAGTGCCCTATACTTTCAAACTTGTGCCACAGCTAAGCTAAGCTTAGAAAGTCACCATATTTAATAAATAATTAGCTCCATTGTTTTATTACTCATGTTGCTAATGGGAACATGACATCAGAACTAGTTAGTGTTGAAACCACAAAGTGTGTGCCTAATTTCACCTGATTTAAGACATAGCAAGTAAGTGTCTCAGTGCCCTTAGTGGGCTGAAAGGTCGCCTAGCAAACTTAATCAGAGGTCAATGTCTTTATATTCTTTCTGAGTATGTTAGAAACTTTTCATACTTTTACATACATACACCAAGTGGAATATTTTCTAAAAGTAAATAAATAAATAATCACAAAGACCACACAAAAATGTATATTTAATCATCAACTCTAAATATTGATTGTGCGTTATTGTCTTGTTACTGTTATTTGCCTCCATTATTGCTGTTATTATGGTTTCAGTAAATATAATTACATTATTATTTTTGCCAAAGCAGCAATAACTTAACAAGAACTGTTAACTAGAGTGACTATTGTAGTCCTACCAAGGATTGAACTCACCATCTTTGGATGTCCGATAT